CACCCACCGTAGCATCCCTCCTGCCCCGCCATACTTCCCAGTGGGACTCATCATAGTTGAGGTAACATGCGCCTGTGGTGAGTGGACATGCTTCACAAAGTCGACGGTGCACAGTACCCAGGGTACCAAGGGTGTACCAAGGGTGTACCAAGGGTACAGTAGTGTAGTATTTTTGAATCGCGCGTACGTGTGTACTGTGGTGTTCGCTTTACAGATGGATTGGGCTAGTGGAGCGGGAACGGAGGCGAGTGCGGTTTGCGCGTTGACAAAGCAAAGTAGAAGGCATCTGTGACTGCGTCTGCGTTGTTTTGTTGAGCATGCAATGCACAGATGAATGGAGGTGGAGTTTGTAACAGTGGAGTTTGTAACAAGCGATGGTTTCTTTGCAGAGCTGCAAAGAAATCTCGTCGCCCCTCCTGCCATGAGCGCCATGAGCGGAGTTAGAATTTCTCGCGTGCCTTGATTCTGTTGCGCTAATTTTAGTGTAATGCATGCGCAGCATTCTCCACGGAACCAGGTGCCACGTCGGCTATGGCGCGATGGGGGCGTGTGATTGGGTGGGGGTTTGAGTGACGAAGCCAGCGGGGACAGCGCGCTGGCCCGGCCGCTAATTCCATTCCCGGCGAAGGGACCAGCTGGGGGCGAACGGGGGAGGGGGGGGGGGGGAGGGGGGGCGCGCATTGGGCAGCGCCGGGCGGTCGCCAAGCACGCCGGTGGAATGGGCATCCATATGTTGCGCTCTGCATGGCAATGACAAGGACGGGGATGTGATTCGGTTGGGGCCCGGGCCACAGAGGCGTGCGAGAGTAGCGGGGCGAACTCGCACTAGTGTTACGGCCCGAATGAATTGCACGGGAGGCAGTGGGGCAATTCCTGTGTGGGCGCGAGCGGGCGCGAATGAAAGGCGAATGAAAGGCGAATGAAAGGCGAATGAAAGGCGAATGAAAGGAGCGGCTCTCCACCGCGGCGCGCGGCGCGGCAGACGGGACGGAAAGGCGTGGCACGGCTGCGGGTCGGTGGTTTTGCGGCGGGTGGGCGCGCGGAGGCAAATGCTTCTGCGCGGGGCAAGCGACGGCAATGACACATGCTCGGAGCGCGTGGCAGCGGCGAGCCGGGCTTCGGCAAGTGACGCACGCCGAGGCAATGCGACGGTGTCCCACGGAAGCGCGTGGCGAAAGGGCGTCGCGGCCAATGAGGCGCGAGATGGGCCGCTTGCGGAGACTGCTGGGCATGCGTCACGCTGCAACTGCTGGTTTGCACGGTTTGCCTCATATGAGGTCAGGCGTGGCCAAGTATGAGGCTGCCATTTTTTTTGGAAAAATATATCGGGTAAATGGAATATTAATTGTCGTCTGGACGACAGAGTGTGGACGACAAATGACCTCATCCGAGGCCATCTGAGGCCATCTGAGGCCATCTGAGGCCATCTGAGGCCATCTGACCTTATGAGGCTGTCTTTCAACTGCCTTTCGAGTGACGGAATCAACGAGAGAAATTACATCACACGTGTGCGCCCGGAGCCGAGCTCTCATCACGCCTCGCCCCCTACAGTGGCCTACTGTAGTAGATACCATGTCCCACGCAAGTGTTAGTCCTATCACAGACTTAACATATCCAGTCCAAGCGTGACACTTGCCCCTAGATATCTGTCGATATGAGATAGCATTCGCAACAATAGTCATTGAATAAAGCATATGCATATATGCCATATACATACGTTAGTCCTTGGCCCCCGTCCTGTTGAACGTTGGATAAATAAACACACGATCGTGCTCGCACGCGAGGATGCGAGCCGCGAATGTGCGAGCCGCGAATGTAGCGCGTGCGAAGACCCGCGCCAACAGCTGTATGCGCGCCCCGCACGGAGCCACAGTCAAAAGCTCGTGCCGACCCTGGACCCGCCTTGCGCTCCCCCCCCCCTCCTACTCGCGTACATTCCCCCGTCCGCCACGGGAAGCGCGACAAGCAGACAAACAAACTGTTTTACATCCGCAAAAAAAATATACCTCCTACCCGCTACGCCCCCCGGCCCGAGCGTGCAGGCCGCGCTAGTTGAAGCTTGACGTGTGGCTAGACGTCTGCGTCACGCTGCTGCAGCTCATCGCCAGCTCGCTCCCATCGCTCTGCCACCCGCCCCCGCGCCCTTCATACGCCGCGCCCATCTCCCTGCCGTCGCCCCTCTCCAGCGCGGCCACGCTCATCCACCGCCGCTTCCAGACCCTGGCCGTATCAGCACGCGGCCCGCCGCCCATCTCCTCGCGGTCGCCGTCCCTTCTATCGCCCGCGCGTCCAGCCCACGCCACCTGTTTCTGCGCCTACTTATGCGCGC